GAGTGAGACTCCAACTCAAAAAAAAAAAAAAATTTTGTGCAAAAGAATGATTATCCTCATGTTACCACCATATTTGTTGTCACCTTTCATCATTCAATAGTTCTAAACAAATCTAATCTCATTAAATGAATTAAGAGTATTTACAATATAAGAAATATTTATAAAATACAATATCTTGAGGATGGTAAAATACAATTAATGTATTTTCATAACCCTTAACTGTACCCCACAACACCATAATAAAAAATATTGATTAATAAAAAAATAAAGTATATACAAAGCTGAAAAAATTATATATGTATTTTCAAGAGTTCTTTAAATGTTAGAGACCACATTAGTGCCATATGATGAACTTTATATTTAAGAATCAGGAATACATTCTGTAACACCAAAGAAACTCATTAACAAATAATACTTAATACATTTCAAATTTACTATTTAGCACAAACTTTTAAAAATTACTTTGGGACTACATTAGTATACTTTATGATAAGCTTACACAGTCTTTAACTATAAGGGTATACATTTCTATCACATAATACAAAGTAGAATACTTTAAATTTTCCTTCTGTATCATGCTTCATCCCAAGTTGAAAACTGGAATAAAACAAAATTTCATGATAGTCTACATGTCTTCAACATATGACTAAGGAATATTTGGAGAAAAAACTCACTCATTACTTACCAGAATCACTCTTGGGAAGTAAGGATATACCTTTTTTTTCACCCCCAGAGGCATACAAATGCTCAAAATCCTAGAAGACCCTCCAAGTAAACTCAAGCTCTAGTCACTTTGATTCTAAGGGCCTCTGTATTTGTATACACCTTTTAATAGTTTTCCAATAATTTTGTTTATAATACAGAAGTCAAAATGAAAAATCTTACTAGAAATTAGTTTACTTAAAAACTTGAATTCCTTTCCCATTGACTACTCCAGTAAATTAAAATTACAATAAAACAAAGGACAAAAAAGAGATTAGAGACAATCAGAATAAAGAAATTTTATCTCATTATAGAATTATAACTAGAATGCTAGAAAAGAAAAACAAATATTAGCCACTGGTTGAGAAGCTTTCAATGGACAAAAGAACCTTTAGAACTAGCATTGAAGTTTCTGGAGGCAGAGATATCATTAAGTAAATTCTTTGTTTTACAACAAATTTTACTTATTTGTAAACACTGGTCATTAGAGAAGCAATTAGTATACTGCAGCAATAACAATATCTTGTATAGAAAATGTTATCACATATTCTTACTACTTTTATATTCATATTATTACTGCATATAATAGTTCCATATAACTTTACAAAATATGCATTATGATAATTTTTTAGTCTCAAAGAGTTTAGTAGTTTTTAAAGTGTTTATCTTAAATCCAAAGCCACAAAAATTCTGAAAGAATCTGGTTATTACACCTATTTTAACTTCAGAATTTTGGACTATAAGTTCAATCTTTTAAATTTCTCTCTCAAAAGCAAACTAAAACAAAAGCTCATTACTCCAGTATATGATTAACAGGTAATGCCTTGACTATAGCTCATCTACAAGATTTTATTTCACCTGAAGTTCAGATGAATGACAGCTTGTTGGTCAGGGGCCTATAAATGAATACCCATAAATTTTCCATATTGATTTGTCAAAAGTCAACTATTAAAAGAACAGATCATCAATATGAAGCAACCATTTATTCTGAAAACTCAAGGACAATTTTAAAATATTTACCATACAATCCTGTACCTGGGAATATGGTAACATCCATGAATATCCATTAATGTTATTATTTATAACCAATTGATTTCACCTTTAATGTTAATTCTCCATCTTATATCATCATTAAACTCTCTTCGCAATAGGTTTTTCACTTTATGATTTGATCAGTCATCTTTTTAAGTATATGTAGCCTACTACTAACTACCAAAATTTACTCTAGGAAATGCCTTAGTTAACCTTTCTACATAAAGAGAAGTTGTTTTCTTTCTCTGCTCATGGAAGAAAAGATATTAAAGCATTTAAGAAGTTAAACAAAACTTATAGGTCATTTAATTCAACTATTTATGTTACAGATGAGAATATTAAGGCCAGAGAGGTACAAAAACTTGACCAAAATCACAAAAACGAGTTGTTTCTTTGAGGCAGAGCTGAACTACTCAATACACTCTGCAGACTTTTGTATGCCCTTTTCCCTCACAGTAACGTGATACTGCCAAGAAAAGCAACTATCTATTTTAATCACTTTAATTCCTTCTAGGGAGGAGAAGATTAAATTTGCCAGTATAGAGTTACACATTAGCTCTGAGTAGCCGATGTCCTTCAAGAAAGACCTAGGAGGCCGGGCTCGGTGGCTCAGCCTGTAATCCCCGCACTTTGGGAGGCCGAGGCGAGTGGATTGCCTGAGCCTGAGGGTTCAAGACCAGCCCGGGCAACTTGGTGAGACCTTGTATCTACAATAAAAAAAAATAGCCGGCTGTGGTAGCACAGCTGTAGTTTCGGCTACTCAGAAGGCTGGGGCAGAAGGATCGCTGGAGCCCAGAAGGTCAACCTGGGTTGGCCGTGATGCCACTGCACTCCAGCCTGGGCAAAGGAATGAGACTACAACTCAAAGAAAGACTTAGGAATGGCTAATTATAGTGCCATTAGTTACAAACCACCACAGTAAATGGAAACATTTTGTCAAAAATAAAGTATGTTCAACAAAATCTAAAACCAAACTTAATGAAACCAATAATGATTTCATTACCCTGGCAAAATACTAATGTTTACTTTTTTGTGTTTTTTAGAGAGACAGAGTCTAGCTCTGTCACCCAGGCTGGAGTACAATGGCATGACTGTAGCTCATCGCAGGCTCCAACTCTAAGACTCAAGGAATCCTTCCACCTTAGTCTCCCAGGTAGCTGTGACTACAGGTGCAAGACACTGCACCTGACTAATCATTTTATTTTTATTTTGTGGACATGAGGTCTTGCTATGTTGCCCAGACTGGTCTTAAACTCCTGGCCTTCGACCAATTCTCCCACTTCGGCCTTCCAAAGTGTTAGAATTACAGGTGTGAGCCACCACACAACAGCCTAATATTTAAATTTTTTATTTGTTTTCAAGACCATCTTGGGGCACCTGAAATTAAAGTACATTTTCTAAAGAAGTCGATCAAATTAAAATTTCCAATGTAACCAGTAGGAATGGAGAAATAGATATATATTATTGATGTTCATGTATACTAAATGCTTCAGTCAAATTTAATTTTTAAATCACTACTGAGCCAGGCGCAGTGGCTCACATCTATAATCCCAGCACTTTGGGAGGCCAAGGCAAGCAGACTGACTGAGCCCAGGGTTCAAGACCAGCCTGGGCAACCTGGCAGGACCTTGTCTCTACAATAAATCAAAAACATTAGTCAGGAGTCAAAGCTGCGGTGGCCCTGAGTGTACCACTGCACTCCAGCCTGAGCAACCATGAGACTCTGAACAAATAAATAAATACATAAATAAATAAATCACTACTGAAGCTAAAATATAACTAGACATTGGGTGGTAGTATGTGACTGCTACATCATTTTTTATATTTTGTGTATGTTTTATAAAAATTTTAATAAACATGAATTACAATGAATTACAATCCACAAGAGGACAGGGTTTGCTAAAAGAAAAAATAATATGATTTTGACTGAACTGTAAAACTGGACAAAAATGATTAGTTACATGTAAAGTAGTACCTAAAACAGCCAACATCATGTTTCAAACCCTTTTAGGGAGTACAAATCAATCATCAAACCAAATACATCCAAGACTAGTCAGCAAAAAAAATAAATGTCTTAACATGAGCCTGAAACTTTTGACAATGAAGTTAAAAAAAAAATTCATTTAATTCCATCATTCAAAGGATAGTATGCTCTCTTATTTACTAAATATTATAAAATATCTATAGTAAAGCATAAAGAAAAAAATCCAACTGTCCATAAATGACCCCTGATTAAATTCTGGCACATACCTTTTCAGTATTTGTACACATATAAAAACATAAACTTCATTACTATTTTTAAATAAAATTGGTAACATGGTACATAAGACTTGGTGTTACGAGTATTGTCTTTTATCATTAAATATCTTAAAAACATTATTAGTGGCTATGTAGATTTCATATTTAGCATATATCATAATTAATTTAACCATTCCTCTATTTTAAAAAGCTTAGGTTACTTCTAATCTTCTATTATTTCAATAAACACCATTAAAAAGTCCTATGTGCAAATCTATATATGCATCAATGATTATTGGTATAAATTCCTAGAAAAGAAGTTAGCATTGAATGATAAGAGCATAAATATTGCAACATTACTTTTGACAGTCTCACCAAAAGTATGAGTTTAAATTCCATTCTGTCATTTTTTAAAACCGCCAATTTAAGAGTATTAACCCCCACATCTGTCATACATGTTGCAAATATTTTGCAAATGAATTTTTGATTAAAAAATAGAAACAGAATGTAAGGTTATATTCTCTGTCAAGAATGTAGAATGTCACATTTACCTTAACATAATAACATATGGTAATGTGATAATATGCTTTAATGACAAAGGAGGACAAAGGCTGACATCCTATGAAAGTAATAACATTAATATAAACTCTTTGGTCAAATAATGGCACCCCTCTCCAGAAAAAGGTGGGGTAAAGCTGTGCCTGAAGGTAAAATCCAGACTGTCTTAAGCACTACTCCAACTGACATAAATTTTTAAAAATGAGGGGGGGGAATATGAGAACGCACATTTGCAGACGTGTTTCAGAGGTGGGGAGGGTGTAACAATTATGGGATGTTTGCGAATGGTCTATCCATTATTCAGAAATTCTATGCTTACTTTTTTGATGCATTTATTAATATGCATCACCTTTTGATGAAGTCATGGTAGTAATTAGTAGCAGTTCTTTGACTCTGATATACACACCCTTTACATTTATTCATTTATTCCCAAATTTTGGAATTAAAAGAACTGAACTTGACATGTAATGCTTAGCTACATATACATTTTGAAGCTCTTGCAAGAAAACAAAAGCTGGAAAAATAAAACACATATAAACAATAACACTCTTTGGGTGTGGAAATACATGAGAAAATTTTTTTCTTCTCTCCACTTTAGCGTATTTTCAGGATTTTCCAATGTGCACACACAACTTTAAAATTCAACATGACTTTTTTGGTTGTTGCCCAGGCTGGAGGGCAGTGGCATGCTCACAGCCACCACCGCCTTGACCTGCTGGGCTCAGGCGATCCTTCCACCTCACCTCAGCCTTTCAAGTAACTGGAACTATGGGTATGCGCCACCACACCCGGTTAACTTTTTGTTTTATTGTAGAGATGAAGTTTCATCAAGTTACCCAAAGTGATGTGGAACCCATGGGCTCAGGCAATCCTCTCACCTCAGCCTCCCAAAGTGCTGGGATTACAGGCGTGAGCCACCACGTCCGACAAAAATGAATTTTTTTAAACGTAAAATAATTGTATCTTAATATCACTACATCATAGCTTAAACATAGTAATTCTGAAACAATATAGACAATTCCTGCCAACCCATTTCACCTCTGAACTGCGCTTTTTGAAGGCACTGGTAAACCAATCTTTTCTTCTGTCCCCAACCACTTCTATCCTCCTACTAGTAAAAGTGACTCACTACAAAGAAATTCTGAATTTGGGTGTCATTTCCCCAATCCCTATCCAAAGAAGCCCAATCTCCCTGGAATCACATGTTATACAAAGTTTTAATCCCCAATCATGGTGATTTCTGATCCATGTACCAAGGAAAATGTGCCTTCTCTTTCTCCCAGTTCCCAATCCTCAGTACTAAAAAATCACCTCAATGTTTTAAGCTCCACTGCCTTTGACAAAATTGCTAACATTACCTGTTATCTCTCTCAGAATCTAAATACAAAAAGCACCAAACAATGCAATAAACAAATATTTTTAAATAGGTATTTTCTCAAATGACTGCATTGTCGTAATTAACTAATTTGTTACAGAGTATATTATGCCTTGTTGATAGTGTTCTATCAACAGTTAATTCACATAAAGGTGTTAAGAACATCACATTTTATTAGTAACCCATGAGTTAGTAATTGATATGTTTTGATAGATAACGTGAAAATGTTAAGTTTTACACGCACAAAATGCAAGTTTCAGGAAGAAAATAACTGTTTCTGTATTTTATTCACTGCGTACTCCCAGATCCTAAAGCAATACCTAGCATTTATTTAACAGACATTCAACCAATATTCATGAAACACTTTTTTTGCTCCTATAGGCTGAAACACTTTTTTTGCTCCTATTATTATAATCTTTGAAAATCAAGATTCTAGCCAGGATTGGTGGTTCAGCCTGTAATCCCAGCACTTTGGGAGGTCGAAGCAAGTGGATTGTCTGAGCCCACGGGTTCAGGACCAGCCTGGGCAACTTGACAAGACATCACCTCTACAATAAATTAAAAAATTAGCCGGGCGTGGTAGTGCGCATCTGTAGTTCCAGCTACTTGGAAGACTGAGGCGAAAGGATCACCCGAGCCCAGCAGATCAACGCTGGGGTGGCCATGAATGTGCCACTGCACTGCAGCCAGGGCGATGGAGTGAGACTCCAACTCCAAAAAAAAAGAAAAGAAAAGCAAGATTCTAAACAGTGGAAATATCATCAACACAGAACAGACTTCCTAATAAATGATTTTGTACATTAGCATCAAGTCTTTCACTCAATCTTCATTCTACCAAATATTCGTATGGTCAGTTGGTCAGTTAAGTCACTAAACATCTCAAACCCCTGTTCTAATAACTACAAAACAGTATACGCCTTCATCTTTAATAACTCTTAGTGTCCAGCTGTGTATAAAGTGGTTTAATTTTTACTTCTTGGGCTATATACAAGATTATTAAATATGAAAGTAAATTTCCCGATCAGATCTGGTCAGTGTGTACTATACTTCTAGGGAATTTTCAATATTATAGAAATTATCTCACTTATCTTACAAATTGTCCAAATAAGTGCTCACTTATTGCTGTTTGTCACTATGCATGGGATACAAAATTACAGCTTCTACCAGAAAGGCCTCAGAAACAATGGCTAATCTAAGTGAATTAACAATTTGGGGGCCAATCTGACACAACAGTCCTATAAAGATAAAATCTAGCTTACAGACACTGAAAGCTTCTTTGACCAACAAAAAAATCATTTAATTCCTGTCTTTAATGAAAAATAAAATACATGATAAATAATGCTTGAGCTTATTTTTATAGGCCTTCTGAACATTTGTCTGCCTCAAGACAATGCATCCACAATACAGAGGTGAAAGTTATTTGAATACACAAGTGGCTACACAAAAACTATCAAAAAATAAAAACACAGTTAATTTTTTACATGATGTTTTCTAGAAAATAACATTTTGTTTAAAGCAACAAAATTTAGATTTATGGTCCTTAAAGATCTTTTCAAAACAATGAGAAAACAAAATAATGAAATTTAACTGTCTTTCAGTTTTAAAAATTGGGGAAAACTCCATTATACTTACTTTGTAAATAGTGCAAAACCATCAATACAAGACTATAGCTGCTTAAAGTACCACGACTGGCATCATTTATCTGATGGTGACTGGCCCACTTCTTAATCACCAACACTAATGGACGAACTCGATTTTCAACTGAAAATAAAATTAAAACTTAAAAATGGTACAATATTACAGTTTCTTTGCACGTTTACATCATTTCCCAACCATGCCAAAAATGAGTACTGCCTCCCTGTTTATTAAACACTGTGCTTATCATAAATGTGCCTTCCATTTAAAACGTACCTTAGTTACCTTTTTAAAATTATCAATTATTAAAATGTACTTGATTTATCTATAACTCTGGTAGTACATGTTTTTATTGTAGCAAAATATGCAAATAAAATAAGACATTATACACTTAAACACAACTAAAGAGACGTCATTATTTAAACATTTTAATAAAGTGAATAAAGAAACAACAGAAGCAGATATTTTTTAAAAAATAAACCATAAACTTACGGTATGCATAAGTTCTGAGAAGGAATGTGTTTCTTATTCCAACAATATTGTTTACATTCAAGTCAAACTCCACACAACTATTTAAAGAACAAAATAAAATAAACTTTAGCTCAAGTGCAAACAAACTCCTTCCTAATAACTAAATTAATGTCCATTCATCCAATGATACAAAATAGCATGGGCCCAAAAGCCAGAGGTCTGTTTTTAAAATGAAGCACTAAAGAAATAATTATGAACACATACTTAGTATGTCATTTTAATATGATATGGTATATATTAAAAATATGGGATTACAGTTGAAAGATCAATAATGTACTGGTAAGGCTCTAATTCCTCAAAGAAAAATTTTAATCTTTTGTTTTTTATTAGATGGGGTCTCAATCTGTGGCCCAGAATGGAATGCAGAGGCATGATCATAGTTCACTGCAGCCTCAAACTCTGGAGCTCAAGTGATCTTCCCAAGTACCTGGAACTACAAGCCCACACTACCACATCTAGCTAATTTTACAATTATTTTAGAGTTGGGGTCTCACCACGTTGCCTAGACTGGTCTCTAACTCCTGGGCTTACTCAATGCTCCCACCTCAGCCTCCTAAATCCCTGGAATTACAGGCATGAGCCACCATGCCTGGTTGGAAATTTTTAAATCTTATCATCTTTTCCAGATAAACAAAAACATTTCTGAGCAAGTTATCTCATCAAGTCATATCTTCCCAAACAATATGGAACTATAGCATCATATACTTTAAAACTAACAGGAATAAAAAGCCAAATTAAATACATGGGAAAAAAACAAAAGGTCTGTCTACACATTATATACCCTCTAAAAAGACTGGCAAAATACAATATCATGTCAAATTTAGCTACTGATATCTAAGAGGAGCTATAATACTCAAACACAGAGCAAAAAGGATATTTATTTCAAATCAAAGATAAGCAATTCAACTTGGAAAACAAGAGCGTAATGATGGACTCTAAAAAGAATGGCTAAACGCATAAGCCAAGTGATGACTTTGTATATCAGTCGCACTTATACCCATATAAGGAACAACTTCTGAACACAAATTTTTTTTGGTGAAAAGATCACCAAATTTCTTTCCATAGCTTTTAATTATAAAATGTGAAATTACCACTTCAGTTTTTCCTGCTTGGGGAAACTAAAGAAATCTTACAATCATGCTACTACCAATGTCTATTAATAAAAATGGATAATACTTCAGATATCATACGTATTTGGCTTTGGGAAACATGGAAAAACAGAAATAAATTCTTTAACTGTGTTTGTGTAAGTTCAACAATGAAGTCAGTTTGTACTTCCTCCAAATAACCCCATAGAAAAGAGCAAACACAGAGGCAGTTCCTCAAGACCAGTGCCTCCCTCCTACATCCTCCTCTGTTCAGCTGGCCACAGCACTCCCGCAGCACAGCCACACCACTGCTGCTTGCCACTACCTTGCTACTTCTCAAAGCTGCTGCTGCCCCTGGGGCCAAGACGATTTTTGCATTTGGGGTTTTTTTTTACTTTATACATAAACCACACTAAAATATCTTTTAATAAGTAAAAGCACTTTTAGATACAGGGAATTCTAATGAGACTGGCATAGTTAAGACCAAAAACATAAAGCAGACATTGCTACTTTATCTTCCGTCCTTGCTTTTAAGAGGCCAATGAACACAATAAAAAATGTTGATGCATCATAAGTACCTATTTCAAGGCACTGCTAAGCACTAAGATATCAAAGTAGAAGAAAGGTTTCTTCTGGACAATTATGTACCTACATTTATCTGCTGTCATGTATTTACTAATTGTATAGCTGGAACCAAAATACATGAGAAATGGACTGCTGTTCTCTTGCAGGGGACTTTTAGTGGTGTGTAACCCTGGACTCTTGTCAATCTCTACATGTTCTGAGTTACTAACAGGAGTATGGGAATGTAAATACAACCTCTGACAAAGCACACACAGCACGGGTGAGTTAAATACAAAAATTATCTGTGTCCACTAGTGGTACCACTTCTCCAAGCTCATAGAATTTATGGACACCTTCCTCTTCATCCTGCACAAAAACCACCACCAGATCAAAATCCTGCATGTCTACCATCATGATATCTGGTGGTCTGTCATGAACTGGGTTCCCTGCAGCCACTCTGATTTTGGTGCCACACTTAACAGACCATGTATTCGTATAATGGTCTGTTGTCTGTCCCTTCCATGCATAGGTGCCTCTGGCGGAAAAAGAACATCTCTCTGAGATATACAACAATATATATCTCTCTGAGATATACAACAATTATGGAGACTAGCTGTGGGGTCTTCGGGCCATGTATATTCTCTCACAGCTGGTTGTTGTTTCCTCATCAGATACATGATTTCCCTGACTGCTGTCTTCACAAACTTCTACATTCACACCTACAACAGGAAGCAGGCCTCCTGGAGTAAAGACTGCCTGAAGGAACACAAGAATAGGTCCACTGCTTCTATGAATGAACACAGTTTTTCTTCCCTGGAAAACAATATGAAGCCAAGGAAGCTGAAGAAGGACTGAGTAGAAGAGTTCAAAACCTCTAAACCACATTATCTATAAATAAATAAATAGAGAAAATAAAATAAAAAACACTTAGAAACTAATCTGGAATTAAAAACTTTTCCAAAAATATGCATGCAGGACTTTAAAAATATCAACAGTACTTGCCTCAAATACTACTTCAGGAAATACTAAAAATGTAATCCTCAACATAGAGAAATTACATACACAAAATGCTTATTTATATTAGCTAAAAACTAGAGACAAACCAAATGTTCAAACATAGGGGAATGATTAAGTTAATGACAATTTTACTATGAAGTCATTAAAAATGATGCTGTAGAACAATATTTAATGACATAAGCAAATGTTTATGACACATAGTTAAGCCAAGAAGTATGATTTCAGGCCAGGTGGGGTGGCTCACCTCTGTAATCCCAGCACTTTGGAGGGGGCTGAGGTGGAGACTCACTTGAGTCCAGGAGTTCAAGACTAGCCTTCGAAACACAGTGAGGCTTTGTCTCTACAAAATTTCAAAACATTAGCCAGGAATGGTAGTGCTCGCCTGCAGTCCCAGCAACATAGGAAAGCTGAGGAAGAAGGATAGCCTAAACCCAGAAGACAAGAGGCTGCAGTGAGCCATGATCATGCCACCAAACTCCAACCTAGGGGACAGAGCAAGACTCTAACTCAAAAAAAAGTATGATTTTAGTTTTACTTTTAAAAACTCTTATACATTCATATGCATAGAAAAGAGACGAAAAGGTTTACAGCAAAATTTTAATATCAGTTATCTGTGGATGTCAGGAGTGGAGGTTTTGCGGTTTTTTAAAAATAGTTTTTGTACAGAGAAGAATTACGAAGTGGTGCTCAAAAAGAATACTTAACAACATAAAATGTTTGTATAACAATCTTAGAAAAAGAATAAAACTGGCCAGGTGTGGTGGTTCATTCAGATGATCCCACACTTTCAGAGTCTGAGAAGGGAGAACCAGCTGAGCTCAGGAGTTCAAGTCCAGCCGAGGCAACACGGTGAAACCTTCTCACTACAAAAAAAGTTTTAATACTTGGCCAGGCATAGTGGCACATGGCTGTAGTCCCAACTACCCAGGAGGCTGAGGCAGAAGGATCACCTGAGTTCAGGAGGTCAAGGATTCAGTGAGCCGTGATCATGCCACTGCACTCTACCCTGGGTGACAGAGACCTTGACTCAAAAAAAAAAAAAGCCGGGCTCAGTGGCTCAGCCTGTAATCCCACGCCTTTGGGAGGCTGAGGTGAGTGGATTGCCTGAGCCCGCGGGTTCGAGACCCGCCTGGGCAGGCGAGACCTCATCTCTATAATAAATCAAAAAATCAGCAGGGCGTGGTAGCGCATGCCTGTAATTCTGGCTACTTGGAAGGCTGAGGTGGAAGGATTACCGGAGCCCAGCAGGTCAAGGCTGCGGTGGCTGGGAGCGGCCACTGCACTCCAGTCTGGGCGACAGAGTGAGACTCCAACTCAAAAAAAAAAAAAAAAAAAAAAAAGAATAAAATTTTTTGTAATATGACTAACACCATATATTATTAAAATTTACTATAATTGCCTAATATAACTTTATGTTTTACTCATATTTACATCTTTGTGGTTTATGAAACTTTTAACACTACTTACATGGCAGAAATTTAATAAATTTTATGGATGAATAGATGAATGAAGGAACACTTGAGTCAGGCATTAGGGTTTGTTTAAAATATATACAAGGGAGGACCCAAAAAATAACCTGGAATTTATTTATAAAAAACTACATATTTATTCTTATATATTTAAACTTTAGCCATCTTCAAAGTACTCTCAATTTGATGCAATAAACCTATCGAGGTGCTTTTTTCACTGCTCAAAGGTTTTTGAACTCAACAATTTTGATACCCTTTAGCGCTTCTATTTGTTTCACCTCTTCCACATTGCCAAAATGCTTCCCTTTGAGGACTTTTCTCATCCATTGGGGGAAAAAAAAGTCACTCAGGGTAAAATTGAATGAATAGGGAGGATGGGGCATGAGGGTCATGCTATTTTTGGTCGAAACTGCTTAACACTCAGTTCGGGGTGGGCAGACGCGTTTAAATCACCCATCATGAAATACGCATGAAATGAGCAAATGCATTGAAAAAATCTCCAAAAAAAATTTCACTGAAGCTAAACACAGCTCCCATAATACCACCCGGTACACTGATGCAAATGGGTCCCTACAGCCCTTAACTAGTGGGGGAAGCCTGTACTACAAGGGGCTCGCCCTCCAGAAAATAATTCTGGTTTCTTTTGGGTCCTTCCCTCCTCACATATTCAGTCAATTCTCGTTATTCATAGTAGTTGCATTCCATAAAGTTGCTGCAAACATTCTGGGGTAAGCACAGCGTTAGGTTTCTGCAAGCCTGGTCACATTTTCATTAACTGATCAATACATAACCTTATTTTATGTTGTATCTCTACTTAAAGATATCTTAAGTATATGACTAATTCAATCACAGTGACATCATGGCCAAGAGCACTCTAAAACATGCCTGAACAAAGCCTATCTAACACATTATTTTTCTCCATAGGGCACATACAGCCTTCTTGCACTTGGAAACACCAAACAGTACCTCAGAGCAATGTCTGGGGGCCACTCTAAACAATGAGAATGCACCAAAATGTCAAAAACATGGTACTCTCTAGACTATGTGGAAGACATCTGTTTATAGTATGAAGCTGAAACAAAAAGGCAGAGTGTCACCTTATTCTACCTCAGCAGGTAACATGGTATTGGGCGATTCAAAATTTCGCCACTCTGTGTACAAGGTCTGACAATTAAGTTCACAAACTCATCCTAGAAAACATGCTACATACCTCATTGCTGAATATCACTATGGTCACCTCCGAAGTACTCCCCTTGGGAAGCTATGCACCGACTCCAGCCACCTAGTCCACCCATCAAAGCAATTTTGGAACTCCTTTTCTGGAATGGCCTTCAGAGCTGTCGTTGTATTACCCTTGATGTCCTGAATGTCATCAAAATGTCTTCCTTTCAATATTTCTTTTATCTTCGGGTAAAGAAAAAAGTCACTGGAGGCCATATCAAGTGAGTAGGGAAGGTGTTCCAATACAGTTATTTGTTTAACGGCTAAAAACTCCCTCAGACAGTGCAGTATGAGCTGATGCACTGTCATGATGCAAGAGCTTCTTTGGGACCATTTTTGCATACATCTTTCTCATGCCAAGATTTTCAGTTATATTTTCCTAACTGCTTCTCTATCGATGTTTATTTGGTCTGCTAAGCTTCTCACAGTCAGCCGGCGAGTTTGATGCACAATTTGATGAATTTTTACAATGTTTTCATCAATTCTGCTCATTACTGGCCATCCTGACCTCTCTTCATCAGTGACTCTTTCTCTCCTCAGAAAAACGTCTAATCCATTTGTACACTGCCATTTTCTATATGGCATTATCCCCATAAACTTGGACTAACAAGTCCCTGATTTCACTTCCATTCTTGCTAAGTTTAACAAGAAATGTAATGTGCGTTTGCTGCTCTAATTCAAGCTCTGACATTCTCACGATAGCACATAAAAACATGCAACAACAATAATGAATGCTACTCAGCAAGACACCACCACCCGCTGACACAAACACAGCTGTGAGACACTGATTTATCAAGGTCATGAAACCTTTATGAGTTGTTTGGACAGTGCTGCCAATATAAGCACACGGTGGCAAGTTCATGAACTTAATTGTCAGACCTAGTATATCCACCAATGACCACTAAAGTATACAAATATTGATGTCGAGCATTACAGACAAATTTCAGCAAGTAGGCAAATTCACAAATATAGACTCCATAGATAATAAGGACTCTGTGTGTGTGTGTGTGTGTATAATTTTAGAACTGCTTTTGTAAAACTGGATTTATTTGTCAGTATATTTTGCTGTATTTCTTTTATATCTATTACTCTAGGTATTATACCTATCTTTCACTAAATTGAAACATAGTGTGTTTAATCATAATTGCATTTACAACAGCATCCTTGCTATTACTACAAATCAAATTTCATTAAGATATGTTCTTGGCCAGGTAGGTGCCTCACACCTGTAATCCCAGCACTTTGGAAGGCCAAAGGAAGAGGATCACTTGATCCCAGGAGTTCGAGACCAGCCTAGGAAACACAGTGAGACCTCCTTTCTACAAAAATACAAAAATTAGCCAGGCATGGTGGCATGCACTTATAGTTCCAGCTACTCAAGGGGCTGAAGTGGAACGATCACTTGAATCCAGCACGAGAGGCTGCAGTGAACTACAATCACGCCACTGCACTACAGTCTAGGTGACAGAGTGAGACACTGTCTCATATGAGAAAAAAAAAGGAAAAATGGTATGTTCTTGAGAATGCATTACACTTTCAAAAGGCAAGAGATCATATAATCTAAGATATAAATAAATAAATATAATAAATATATATTCTTTAAATTGGATAGTCTGAGCTGGGCACAATGACTAAAGTATGTAATCTCAGCACTTTGGGAGACCAAGGTGGGAAGACTGCTTCAGCCCAGGAGTTCAAGACCAGCTTGGGCAACATAGTAAGACGTCTCTACAAAAAAAAATTTTTTTTAATTAGTTGGGCATGTTGGTGTGCACCTGTAGTTCCAGCAACTTGGGAGGCACAGGTGAAAGGATTGCTTGAGCCCAGGAGTTTGAGGCTGTGTTGAGACATGATCATGCCATGCACTCCAGCCTGGGCAACAAAGTAAGACTCCAACTCAACAAATAAATACATAAATAAGTTGGATAATCTGGAATACTAAAAATGTCAAATAGATTAGCAGAGTACAGTAAAGCATGAGAAAGAAGAGCTCAGAACATTTTAAAAAATAATTTCAAACATCATCTGATTTAGAAAAACTGAGAAGATATTATGCTACATTTCTTAATTTTCTGCATCAGATGGATACCTAAAAATGATCTAAAGCAAATCAAAAAAGAAAGTTCAGTAATTACTTACCTGACTTTATCCCTGAACTTCACAATTGGCACTTTTGCTCGAATCAGCTGAGGTCTCTCAATGTAGCCAGCTGAAGAAGAAAAGATAATGCAAATATCTGCAAATGCTTCTCAAATTCAAAGCATTCCGATGCATATTTTTAAAACAATATTAAGCTAAATTGCATTCCAATGCATATTTTTAAAACAATATTAAAATAAAATAATTTAAGAAAATGTTGTCTTTGAAAGAGAAAGCAAAAAAGTGAGGGCATTACCAAATTCTTCTAGATTTAAGATGACCAATATGAGGCAGCTAGAGTGTTTCTCCAATAAAGTATACCAAGAGTTTTCTCAGCACCCAGAGAGGAAAAGGACCAGCAGCATGCCCCACAACTCATGAAAGAAGTGATAATCACCACGAAGTACAAAGAAGATAAAAATCAATCAATCTGGGTTGGAACTAGCCAGACTCCTTTGGATCACGATACAGACTACCAGCAGCCACTAGATAAAATGGAGAAGGTAAATGACGGGAATTCAGGAGTACTGTGCTCCTGTCACAGACTTGGAGAGCCCTCAGGCCTTGCAGGACTCCAGACCCTCATGGGGGCCTTATCCATAGTCATGTTCTCTTGAGGTCCACATAGAGAAGTGTAGGAAAAAAGAAAGCCCTGAAAGCTCTAGCCACCATATATCCCAGGATCTCAACAATTTGAGGGGAATGACAGCAGCTTTCTAGCGGACCTGGGAGAGGATGGACCCCAAGGGCAAACTTCTTAGGGGCAGAGTTCCAGGCTGGAGCAGACTGCTGCTGTAAGAAGCCCTCAGGCCCTGTGGTTGGCTGCACTTTGACATTCAGAATGCTTACTGCCTAAGGCCAAGGCAAGAACTCAGTGGGAGTGGTTGCCATAGCAACCTTGACTCCCCTTAATTCTCCTGCACCTGACCTACACAACAGCACTACCTGAGTCACAGGGGATTCCTCCTAACCTTCACTGGGGTAGTCAAGAATGTACATACTTGGGATGCTTAAGCTACTTCTCCCTCCACACCTCCCACTCCCCTTGAAGGCTGAAAAATGGCAGAGAATTTGAGTAATCTCAGAATTCTGCCCTCTGCCTGGGCACTTCCTTGGAGCAACATTCACCAAGGAGAAAGCTCACAGCCACCATTGCAGCTGGCTTTCTCCCACAAGCGCCACCTCCTGGTCAACAGCACAGCTCATCACATAGGATATCATTCCCCAGTTTTAGGAAAGGCCAGATACCAAGCCCCAGTTAATCCACCTTCACTCAGTGTCACTCTGGACACTCAGGATGCTGTGAGCCAGTGCAGGTACCCAGCACAAAACTGCCACAGCTGGCAAATGAGAAACTCACCACACAAGACTATATAGTACATAACCAAGGGAACCCTACAGTGCCTACATCAGTCCCCTGCCAACCTCAAATAAGAATAGTCTACCCAAATGAAAAGGAAGCAAAAAAATAACTCTTACAACATGAAAAAACAAGAGTTCCCCAACACCCCCAAAAGACCACTCTAATTCTTTAGCAATGGACCCTAACCAAAATGAAATCTTTGACATTTCAGACATAGAATTCAATAAGCTTATTATAATAAAATTTCTCAGTGAGTTTCAGAAAAAAGTTGAAAGTTAACAAATAAATTTTTTAAATAATTCAAGATGTGAATAAAAAATTCTCCAAAGAGATAGACACCTTAAAAAAAAAACCAAGCAGAAATTCTAGAAATAAAAAGAGCATTTAGCAAAGTAGAAAACGCAGTGGAAAATTTCGACAGTAGACTAAAACAAGAAGAAAGGACTTCAGAACTTAAAGTCAAAGCTTTCAAATTAACCCAGACAACAATAAAGAAACAAGACAATAATAAAGAATCAAGAGAGTGGAACAAAGCCTCCAAAAAAATGTGGGATTATGTAAAACATCCCAACCTAAGAATCCTAAGTGTTCCTGAGGAAGAAGAGAAAGCAAGAGGTTTGGAAAATCTATCTGAGGGAATAATGGGAGAAAACTTCCCTAGCCTTGCCAGAGATTTAAACATCCAGATACAAGAAGCCCAAAGAACCCCCAGTAGATTCATCACAAAAAGGTAATCCCCAAGACATATAATCATCAAGTTATGCAAAGTTAACATGAAAGAAAGAATTTTAAAAGCAGTAAAACAAAAACATCAAATAACAAACACAAACCTATCAGCCTAATAGCAGACTTCTCTGAAGAAACTCTAAGAGCTGGAAGGGATTGGGGCCCCATCTTCAATTTCCTCAAACAGAATAATAATCAGTCAAGGATTCTGTATCCTATAAAACTCAGTTTCATTAACGAAGGAAAAATAAAGAATTTCTCAGATATCTGCTGCCTTTAAGAGACCTGCTTAATACAAACTCCTATAGAGTCAAGGTAAAAGGGTGGGGAAAAAATTTTTATGTAAGCAGAAACCAAGAAGAGCAGGAATAGTCATTTATTCTCCTATCACATAAAAAACTTTAAATTAATAACAGTAAAAACAGACAAAGATGGCTATTACATAATAATAAAGAGATCAATCCAACAAGAAGGCATAACAATTTTAAAATATGCCCCTAACACTAGAGCCACCAGCTTTATAAAACAAATTCTACTAGACCTAAATATAGAGACAGGCAGCAATATAATAATATTGAGAGACACTTCATGGACAGCAACAGAAAGATCACCAATGCAGAAAGTCAACAACGAAACACTGGAGCTAAACTGGACCCTAGAGCAAATGAAACTAACAGATATCTATACAGAACACTTCTCTCCAAAACTACAGAATATACATTTTTCTCACCAGCACATAGAACATTCTCCAAGAAAAGACCATACAGTGGGCCACAAATCAAGTCTCAACGAATTTTTTAAAAACAGAAATTATATCAAGCATCTTCTCAGACCACAGTGAAATAAAACTAAAAATAAACTCCAAAAAGAACTTGTGAAACCAAATGAAAACATAGAAGTTAAACATTTTGCTCCTGAATAATTCTTGGGTCAACAATGAAATCAAAATGGAAATTTAAAAATTCTCAAAACAAATAACAACAACAAAACAAGTTGTTAAAACCTCTGGGACACAGCCATAGTTGTGCTCAGAGGAAAATTTATAGCACAGAAGAACTACATTAATAAGATTAGTAAAATCTAATGTCCCACCTCAACAAACAGGGAAAACACAAACCAAACCCAAGCTAGAAACAAAGAAATAAAATCAGCAGAACTAAATAAAATTGAAATGTAAAATAAATACATAGGATCAATGAAACAAAAAGTTGGTTCTTTGAAAAAATAAACAAAACTGATAGACTTCCTACTAGATTAATTAAGAAACAGAGATTCAAATTAGCTTAATCAGAACTAAAAATGAAGATATCACAACTGATATGATGGAAATTCAAAAGATCATCAGAGATTATTCTGAATAACCCCAAGCAAATAAACTAGGCAATCTGGAGGAAATGAATAAATTACTGGAAACATACAGTCCCTCAATCATGAATCAGGATGAAACAGAAACCCTGTACAGACCAATAACAAGTAGTGAGATTGTAGCAGTAATTTAAAATCTTCCAACAAAAAAAAAGTCCAGGATCTGATGGACTCACAGCCAAAATCACCAGACTTTCAAAGAACTGCTACCAATTTTACTGAAGCTGTTCTTTAAGACTGAAAAGAAGGGAATTCTCTTTAACTCATTCAATGGAGCCAGTATCAATCTGATACCAAAGTCAGGAAAAGACACAACCACAACAACAAAAAATATAGACCCATATCCCTTATAAACATAGACACAAAGATCCTAAACAAAATAATAGCAAACTGAATTCAACAGCCCATTAAAAAAAAAAAAGTCCATTATGATCATGGGTTTTATCCCAGGGATGCAAGAGTAGCTTAACATATACAAGTCAATAAACATAATCCACTACATAAACAGAATTAAAAACAAAAATCATATGATCATATCAATAGCTGCAGAAAAAGCATTTGATAAAATCCAGCATCCCTTCATAATAAAAACCTTCAGCAAAATAGACAGAGAAAACATTCCTCAAAATAATAAAAGTCATATGTAAAAAACCCACAGCTAATGCCATCCTCAATGGAGAAAGGCTGAAGGTATCCCCCTCAGAACTGGAGCAAGGTAAGGATACCCACATTCACCATTCCTATTCAGCACAGTACTGGAAGTCCAAGCAAGAGCAATCAGACAAGAGAAAGAAATAGAGTATCCAAACTGGGAAAGAAGTCAAACTATTTCTGTAAGCCAATGATACGCTCTTATACCAAGTGAAACCCAAAGACTCCTCCAAAAGACTCCTGGACTTGATAAATAAATTTGGTAAAATTTCAGGATATAAAATCAACACACACAATTCAGTAGAACTGCTATTCACCAAGCTGAGAATATCGACAAAGTTGAGAATCAAACCAAGAACTCAATTCCATTTAAGACAGCTTCCAAAAAACTAAAATACCAAGGAATATATTTAACCAAGGAGGTGAAGGTTCTCTACAAGAACTACAAAACACTGATGAATTAAATCATAGCAAATAACACAAATGGAGAAGCATTCCATCATCATGGATTGGAAGAACCAACATTGTTAAAATGACCGGACTACCCAAAGTACCCCCTAAAGCAATTGAAGTAAATTTTAAAAATTTAAATTAAAAACAACTAAAAAAAATAACTCTAATACCATAGGTATTATTACAATACCATTTACAAGGACTTATACTAAGGTTGTTTTCAGAAATGTGCTCTTATATCTAACAGTATCTATGAAGAAGTTAGAGCATTTAAGAGTGAAAACATATCTAGTCTAGCAGCAGGGACGTAACTAATCTCTGGTATAACACATAGTAATACATTACGATAGCCACAGAAATCATATTTGCAAAGAGTAAACCTCAGCGAGGTTTAATGAAAAATAAGTTTAGCAGTTAAAACTTTAAGAAATAAGTACAAGTTCTGACACTAACAAACTATAATCCAGGCAAGTTACTAAGCCCATTGGTCACCAGTCTCCTAACTATTAAAAATAATAACTAAAAGAAAAAAAAAGTATTCATGAGAATTAGATGATCTTTAAAGTCTCTTTCATTTTTAATATTTTATATTAAATAAAATGGCTAATAATAGCTACTAAAATTAATAGCTAATTCTGGTAGCCACAGAAATGTTTACTAAGTGTCTTAGATGTGGAAATGCTTTAAAACATGATACATGGGAACTGGGACACATTCAAATAAGTTTGATCTCTACAAGAGAAAAATACATACATATGTGTTTTTTATTATCAAATTTTAATTGTAGAATGTTAGGAAAATAAATGTATAAAAAGGAAATTCTGCAATAGCGATTAAATATCCACATAAAGTATGAATTACTCCTTTATTTTAGATATAAAAACTTAAGTCCACTGAAATAAACTACTTGATTTATTTCTTGTACTATAGACATAAGTTGTTTAAATACAGTAGCATATTACTTGACTTTATATTTCCCAGCTCACAGCCTAGCACATAATGTGTATCTATTAAACAAATGAACAGATGTCTTCCCAAAATCACAGTAGTATAACTTCAACTTTCCACAACATTCTGCAGAAGTTCAAAAGAAATTATTTGAGTCCGGGCTTGGTGGCTCAGCCTGTAATCCCGTGCTTTGGGAGGCCGAGGTGAGTGAATTGCCTGAGCCCGTGGGTTCGAGACCCGCCTGGGCAACTTAGCAAGACCTCATCTCTACAATAAATCAAAAAAATTAGCCGGGTGTGGTAGCACGCGCCTGTAGTTCCAGCTACTTGGAAGACTGAGGCGGAAGGATTGCCGGAGCCCAGCGGGTTGAGGCTGCGGTGGCCAGGAGTGGCCACTGAACTCCAGTCTAGGGGACCGAATGAGACTCCAACTCAAAAAAAAAAGAAATTATTTGAGATTGTTAAACATGTGGATTAAAATGTGTCTAAAGTCAACTTATTCCAAGAGTGAAAACTCACAATAGCATAGCCTAAGTCAACAATTTTGTTTTTTGTTGCAATAAGACATTTGGGCCCCATGTTGAGTGACCACATCTTTAAAACAAGTAAAAATGCATATAAAAGGTAAAATTCTCTTTCCCTCATCTAAAGGATTTTATTTGTATCAATCTTTTGGCTTTTCACAGGTACTTTGCATTACAGCTATTTATAGTCATGCCTTAATTTCCCTAACAATCTTTTAAGAAAAATAACTGAAACTTATATATCTTTGAATCCCCCACCGCAGTCAGTGGGATATTTTACAGTAAGTCCAATAAAGAATTCCTAATTAAATAGTCACTCTTCTTTTTAATCAAAACTTAAAAGAAATTCATTTGGAATAAAAGATCCACATTATACCCATCCTGACCAGAATAAACAATTCTTACCAGAAGATAAAGTGAGAGACATTCTAAATAAAGTTATGTCAGATGACATATGAAAGCATGTAAGACTTACAAAGTCTAGTACAGAAGTGTTTATGGACTAAGGTGAGTATATGCCGTGCTTCAGTCTTCTGATTTACCTGAAAAAAACACTGAAAAGTTAAAAATAAAGTGCTTCTTCATTATCTTTCTAAGCTTAATGCTTCATTTTCTTAAATTATCTCAACAAAAAGAAAACTTACAAGGTTTACTTTTCTTTGGAGTTACTTTTCAATATATACTAACCCTTTGCACTTGGATGTCCCCTCTGAAGGGACATTGTAAATCTAGCAAACCACTTGGAGGTCCCCTCTCAGGGGACACAAAGTGATTGCTGGTGATTATACAGGACAAACTTATACAAGCACAAATTTTTCAAAAATGTATGTTTCCTTGTAATTTTCCATTCAAAAACAATGAAAAACTTATGTCCCATTTGAAATTTGTCCAGCTTCTGATCGAGCAACTGAGAAATGGCTTTCAGAAACCACAAGTAAACATTCCACATCATCTTTGAACAACAGACTGAACATTAAACTACATATTATGAATGTGGAAGGAAGAAAATGAGATTGCATTGTCTGACCAAATAGAAAAATACCAAGAGGAAGACAAATTACTATTGCACAACATGTATCAATGAACCTGTAATGCACGTCGGTAAATGTTTCACACATTACCATGTTAGAAAAAAATATATAAAAATTTTTTGTCATAAATAAGTTCCTAAATGTCAAAATTCCATTATAAGTCAAATATCATTACAATAAAAAAATTGGTTCCAATGCTGTACTATTTAACATAAGTGATTAATATAAGTGATTTGTTTTTTACTATTTCATTAAAATATGCAGTTGAGTTACTGGTAGGTGATCCATGAGATGTCTCCAAGTGCAAAGGGCTAAATAGCATGATAGAAAACAGTCAACCTTTAATTACCTATCTAAAAAGCATTAGCTATCTTTCACATTTACATTTCTAAATCATTTCCTGATTTTAAACTTCAAAGCACAATTTTTAAAGAAATTCTGAAATAACCATATGTCCTTTTTCCTTCAGCACAAATATATTTTAAAAAGCAACTTCCAACAAAAATAAACAGAATTTTAACTTTCTGTAACATGTGTTGTTACCCCATACAGATAGTGAGCTGCTTAAGGATAGGTTCATATTATGCTGGATTCGTTTGAATATAAGCTATGACAACCTGATTTAAGCACATGAATAAGACCAGAGGATTGGACTACTGGGATGTACTTCAATGTAATCTAATTGTATTAAAAAGTTTTAATTAAAATTCTTGCATTCTCCTCTGTATTTATAATTTGAGGTTTGTAAAAACTTTTCTTTCATATGAATTCAAAGCCTAGAAAAATACTATTCTTCTTGGAATAAATTTTTTTCTGGTTTGCAATAACTAGAAGTCATTTTTTCTTTAGTAGAATACTATGAATAGTAAAAATATACGTTATCACTCAATAGATCTTTGAATTGTTAAAGATGCGAAACACGATAAGGCATATTAAAATTACAGTGAACTTAATCCTTGGCAGTTCAGAAGAAACTTCAGCATCTTAAAGAGACTGCTTCAGGACAACTTAATGAACACCAACTGTGGTAGTATTAAGGAATATAGAGGGGCATGAATTAACAGGAAATTTAAGTAAACATAACACAGGTTGAGAATCTCTACTTCAAAAATCTGAAACACTCCAAAATCTGAAACTTTTGAATGCTGACATGATGCTCAAAGGAAGTGTTCATTGGAGCACTTCAGATTTTGGGTTAGGAATGTTCAGCCAGTAAGTATAATGTAGATTCCAAAATGCAAAACACTCTGGTCCCAAGTATTTCAGATAAGGAATTCTCAACCTGTACTAAATAATACAATATGGTTGGTTGCAAAAGAAAAAAGAAGAGAAAGTCAAGATGCCAGAAAAAATACATTAAATTTAATAAATCACAAAAACCGTATTTTAAATTTCAGCAAAATTCTTTTTTTGAAAATAAGAATCCCAAACCTCATAGCATTTTCAGGGGGTAATGAAAAAGATTTAAAACAGAATCACTGGGAATTCAAATAGAAAGGAAATATATCAAGAAGCTATTATTGCCACACACTCTTCTTCTTTGCTGCATCCTGTTAACATATTCAACCCAACGATGCTTCAAATCAGAGGCAGAGTTCTTCAAAAACACAGAGTAAAACCATCTCACTTTAAAAACTTAGAACTAAACCATGTATACTGGCTCACACCTGGGAGGACTGCTTGAGGTCAGGAGTTTGAGACAAGCCTGGACAACATGGTGTGAGACTCAGTCTCTACAAAAAATAAAAACAATTATCCTGGCATGGCAGCATGTCTTATCGTGTCAGCTGCCTGGGAGGCTGAGGCAGGGTGACTGCTTGAGCCCAGGAGTTCAAGACTGCAGTGAGTTAAGATCACACCACTGCACATCCAGCCTAAGTGACAGAGCGAGACCCTGTCTTTAGGGAAAAAAAAAAAAAAACTTAAAACAAACTAAGGCTGTGATTCCTATTACACTAATCCTGCATGTGCCTTAAAAGAAAAACAAGAATTTTCCTGGGTTTCCTAGAATTATGGTAAACAGAAGATCCAAAGAAGTAATTACAACAAAGCAAGTTCTTTTTTTTCCTCAGTAACTTTTATATAAAACTTCTTAACTGACTTAACGTGAGAAACACTTGGAATAAATAAATGTCTTACTTACTGGTTCCTCCTTAACAACTAGGCATAAATCACCATCACTGCTCCGGGTACCAAATCCGTTTAAAGAGGACCCAACCAAAAACAGTCTGCTTTCTAGAAAAACAGAAGAAAATTATCAGATTATTTAAAATTTAAAACAAGTGCACTGGTCCTGCGTCTATTTAAAAAGAAAAAAAGAGGGCCAGGCTTGGTGGCTCAGCCTATAACCCCAGCACTTTGGGAGGCCAAGACAAGTGGACTGCCTGATCCCACAGGTTTTGCGACCAGCCTGGGCAACTTGGTGGGATCGCATCTCTACAATAAAAATCAAAAAATTAGCCGGGCGTGGTAGTGCATGCCTGTAGTTCGGTTACTTGGAAGGCTGAGGTAGAAGGATCGCTGGAGCCCAGCAGGTCGACGATGGGGTGGCCGTGAATGTGCCACTGCACTCTAACCTGGGCTACAGAGTGAGACTCTAACTCAAAAAAAAAAAAAAAAAAGATAAACATTAAAATAGAAATGTATATACATAAAGGGCATATAAAATAGGGAAACATACGTGGAAATAACAGCTGAATTTCTCTCTGCAGCTGTGTTCGACAGAGTTCTTTCTTCTTTAAATCATTTATTTGCTGCTGACATGTTTCAAATAATTCCAGTATCTGCTGACTCAACTTGAATCCACCACAAAAAAAAAGTAAAAGTTATGTTCAGAAATGAAAAATTACCATAAGTATTAACCAATTCTACGGAAAATATTTTAGAAATAAACATATTTTAACTACTTAAAACTCTCCAATACAAAGCTATTATTATTTAATACAGTGGGATGGTTTTAAAAAGTACACATAGGCCAGGCATGGTGGCTCACGCCTAAAATCCCAGCACTTTGGGAGGCTAAGTGGACAACTTGGCAAAACCTCAATTCTACAATAAATCAAAAAAAATAGCCAGGCATGGTGGCACTTGCCTCAGTTCTAGCTACTTAGAAGGCTGAGGCAGAAGGATCACCTTAGCCCAGCAGGTTGAGGCTGCCATGAGAGTGCCACTGCACTCCAACCTGGGTGACAGAGTGAGACTCCAACTCAAAAATAAGAAAAAGTACATATAAATTTTACAAAGTAAAATATCACTCACAAGTGACAGAAAAGTACAGTCACAGATAAGTAAGTCCCCTACATATGAACAAGTTCCATTCCAAGAGCATGTTTGTAAATCCTATTTGTTAATAAGTCCAATGGAGTTATTAGCCTAGGTATCCAACTAAGACAATCAGTTATATAGTACTGTAGTGTAATAGGTTTAAAATACTTTTTACACAAATAACACATAAAAAACAAACACAAAATTTTTTTTAAATTTTATCTTCCAGTACAGTACCTTGAAAGTACAGTACAAGAACTGGCATACAGCGACTGGCATTGAGGGAACGGGCAAGAAGAGGAATGAGAGTCGTGGGAGATGGTAGAGCTGAAGGATCATCAGCAATAGGAGACAGAGGGCAAGTTGCAATTTCACTCATACCGGACGCTGATGGTCAGCTTCTAGTGCCATCAACTCAATTCTATTCACCCTCTTGAAAAAACCATGTGCAGCCGGGTTCAGTGGCTCAGCCTGTAATCCCAGCACTTTGGGAGGCTGAGATGAGTGGATTGCCTGAGCCTGCGGGTTCATGACCCGCCTGGGCAACTTGGAGAGACCTCATCTCTACAATAAATAAAAATTAGCTGGGTGTGGTAGCACACGCCTGTAGTTCCAAGCTACTTGGAAGGCTGAGGTGGAAGGATCGCTGGAGCCCAGCAGGTCGAGGCTGCAGTGGCCGGGAGCGGCCACTGCACTCCAGTCTGGGTGACAGACAGAGACTCCAACTCAAAAAAAAAAGAAAAGAAAAACCCATGTTCACATCTTTGAAAGTTTGCAACTTGAAGGCTCATAGGGGACTTACTGTAATCCATAATGAGTATAATCCACGGGTAAGCAAACTACAACCCTTGGTCACTGTTTTTGCATGGTTCATAAGCAAAGAATGGTTTTTATATTTTTTAAGGATTATAAAACAAGCAGGCCGGGCACAGTGGCTCAAGCCTGTAATCCCAGCACTTTGGGAGGTCAAGGCAAGAGGATTGTCTGAGTCCAGGAGACCAGCCTAGGCAACTTGGTGAGACCTCATCTCTACAATAAATTTTAAAAAATAAGCCAGACATGGTAGCACATGCCTGTAGTTCCAGCTACGTGGAAGGATGAGGTGTGGAAGGATCGCCTGAACTCAGCAGGTCGAGGCTGCGGTGGCTGTGAGTATGCCACTGCACTCTAGCTTGGGTGACAAAGTGAGACTCTGACTCAAAAAAAAAAAACAAGCAAATAAGAATATGTAAAATAAGCCATATATGAGTGACAAAGCCTAAAAAATTTACTATCTGGCCCTAAAGAACTTTGCTCAACCTCTGGTATTCACACCCATGAATATTAAATATAACAGACTTTCAGAATTCCCTGGTCTTCTATGCTCATGAAAGTCACCCTCCAAGCCGGGCTCGGTGGCTCAGCCTGTAATCCCGTGCCTTTGGGAGGCTGAGGTAAGTGGATTGCCTGAGTCCGCGGGTTCGAGACCCGACTGGGCAGCGAGACCTCATCTCTACAATAAATCAAAAAATCAGCCGGGCGTGGTAGCACACGCCTGTAGTTCCGGCTACTTGGAAGGCTGAGGC